CAGAGGAAGAAAAGACAAAACCCATTTTGAGATCCCAGCCCAGGGCAGGAAACCACGGGAGCCCCACCCACGGCTAAAGCCAGAGCCAGCCTGGGCATGGGGCCAGGTGTTAGCCCAGCCCTGCCCCCCACCCCAGCTCTGCCGGTGCCCCTCACTCCCGACCCGCAGCCCCTGCTAGCCCAGCCCTGCCCCCCCCAGCTCTGCCGGTGCCCCTCACTCCCGACCCGCAGCCCCTGCTAGCCCAGCCCTGCCCCCCCTCACTCCCCGTGCACCCCAAGTGCCAGGATGAGTCACGGGGGGGCGGGGGGGGGGCTGGGCGGCGATGCCGACACCGGGAATGCAGCCGAACCGCCCACCGCAGCACCCCCACACTCTGGGTCTCCCCTCCCAGGGGAACCCCCAACCCTCTAAACCCCCCTTGCCTCAGTGGCTACTGCCAGTTGTCATCCAGCCCCCACTCACAGGGGCAGACGGCAGTGTAATGGCCACTCATCATCGGCAAGGGGTCGGACCAGCTGCCTTTGCCCCTCTGCCGCCCCAGAACCTTTCGGGGGGGTTTACCAGGCTGGAGCTCCCCGGCTCCCTTGCCCTATTCCCCAGCCCTGCTCTGGCCACGGGACCCTTCAATCCTTCGGCAGCCGGGTCCAGCTCTCTCCAAAGCTAGCTTGTTTAAGGCCAAAAGCCATCAGGTTGGTTTGACCCGATTTGCTCTCCGTGCCGGCTGTCAGCTGGGCTCTTTTTAGCTCCCGGCTGGAAGAGGGAAGGGCTGCGGGGCGAGGGCTGCGCTGGCTCTTTAAGAGGGCTGCCTGGCCCCAAGGAGTTCTGGGACTTGTAGTTCCCAAGGAGCAGGGGGAGGGGGTGGTGCTGGTGGTGGGGGAAATCCACGGACTGGGCAGCAAAGCATGCTGGGAGCTCTTTATTGCCTGCTCCACTTTCCCAGCATGCCTTGCTGCCCTGCTCTGTAGTCCCCACCCCATAATCCCGAGGAACTACAAATCCCAGAATGCATCGAGGCAAGATTGAATTCCCCCCCCCCAGGTGAGGGGAGTCCCTGTATAACAAGTCACCCCGCCCCAGAGGTGGCTGCATCTCAGTGCCGGACGAGGGGTCCCTGTATAACCAGTAACACTTGGTGGGGGGGAATTTGATGGGGGGGTGGATTAATTTTTAACCCTGTCTTTCCCCCTCTTTCGTTCACAGGTTACCCCCAGGCTACTTAACCCTCCGCCCCACCCCCCAGTCCCCACCCCGGGATTCAACATCTACCCCTCCTCCAATCTGGACGTGGGGCAGCTGCTCCAGCCCCAGTCCCTGCCCCAGGCATATGGGGACCCCGCCGCACAGCACCCCCACTCGGCCATCATGCCGTTGCTGCCCATGTCCACCGGCATCCCCCCGGGGTGGGATTATCGAATGCAGGTGAGTGGGGGTCTAAATGGGAACCACGGCCCACCCCAGAGGTGGCCACATCTCAGCGCCGGGCAAGGGGTCCCTGTGTAACCAGCTGCCCCACCCCAGAGGTGGCCGCATCTCAGTGCCGGGCGAGGGGTCCCTGGATAACCAGCCGCCACGCCCCAGAGGTGGCTGCATTTTAGTGGCAGTGAACCTGAATGGTTACCCCAAGTGGAGAAATAAACACATGGAGTGGGGCTGATGGGTCAGAGCAGGGGGGGCTGGTAGCCAGGACTCCTGGGTTCTCTCCCCGGCTCTGGGAGGGAGTGGGGGCTGGTGGGTTAGAGCGGGGGGGCTGGGAGCCAGGACTCCTGGGTTCTCTCCCCGGCTCTGGGAGGGAGTGGGGGCTGGTGGGTTAGAGCAGGCGGGGCCGGGAGCCAGGACTCCTGGGTTCTCTCCTTGGCTCCGGGAGGGAGCTGGGGGCTGGAAGCCAGGACTCCTGGGTTCTCTCCCTGGCTCCGGGAGGGAGCGGGGGGCTGGGAGCCAGGACTCCTGGGTTCTCTCCCCGACTCTGGGAGGAAGGGAGTGGGGGGGCTGGAAGCCGGGGGTGGGTGAGTTTCTGAGTCTCTCCTACCCCGGCCCCTCTGGCTCTTTTCAGATCGACCAGGTTCTGATCCAGCAGAAAGTGGAGCTGGTGGAAGGTGAGCGAGGGCTGCACAGCACCCCCCCCCGCTACACTCCCCCATAAACCCCCCCCCCGCCCCACATCCTCCCAGAGCCACACAACACAACATCCTCTCAGCCATGCACAATACACACACCGTGCCAGCCGTACACAACACACCAACTACACACACCGTCCTCTCAGCCATACACAACACACCATCCTCTCAGCTCTACGCAACATGCCAACTACACACACGTCATAGTCTCAGCCATACACAACACACATGGTGCATCCATACAGAACACCTCAACGACACACACACACTGTCCTCTCAGCCGTACACAACACCCCAGCTACACACACTGTGCCAGCCATACACAAGAAACCAACTACACACACACACACACACGCCATCCTCTCAGCCATACACAATCCGCCAGCTACACACACACACACACACACCATAATTGCAGCCATACACAACACACACACCGTGCCAGCCATACACAACACAGCAACTACACACACACACACACCCTCTCAGCCATACTCAACACACACACCACCCTACACTCTACTCAACAGCCACACCGCAACCGCCGGATCCCCTATACCACACAACCACACCCCCTAAAAAGAGAACACACACCCCTGTCACACACAACACACCCGGATGCGCACACACCTGCTCCCAGACCCAACCTCACAGAGCGCTGGGGTTACTGAAGATGGAGGAGTGTTTGGGAGGGGGGTGTAAGAGGCAGCCATGACGGTTGTGTCGAGCCACTGAGGTAGCCAGGGCTGTTGGCGTTGGCGACAGCGACTGAGGTAACCATGATGGCTGTTGTTGGCGCTGGTTGTTGCCGGAATCAGTTGCTGAGTCAACTGGGACAGTTGTGGACAGTGACTGAGGCAGCCATGACCGTCGGTGACGAGGGCGGCCATGATGGTTCTGATGGCGATGAGGGTGGCCATGACAGTTGGTGACGAGGGCAGCCATGATGGTTGTGATGGCGACGAGGGTGGCCATGACGGTTGTGATGGTGACGAGGGCAGCCATGACGGTTGGTGACGGTGGTGTCACCATGGTAACCGTCTCCCCTCCCAGCTGGCATCGGCTTCGAGACCGCCAACAAGTACGAGTTGCGGGACGGGCTGGGCCGGCGGCTCTTCGAGGCCAAGGAGCAGAGCGACTGCTGCACACGCAACTGCTGCGGGTCCCTGCGGCGCCTCCGGCTGAGCGTGGCCGAGCCGGGGGGCCGCCCCGTGCTGCGCCTCCTGCGCCCCCTCAAGTGCGCCACCTGCTGGTGCCCCTGCTGCCTGCAGGAGGTGAGGGACGGGCGCCCGCGGAGGGGCCCCCCCGGCCCTGGCACCACCCCGTGTCCCTCCCCCGTCCTTCCCCCGGCACCATCCCGCATCCCTCCCCCACCCCACTGCCCCCCCATGTCCCTCCCTGACCCTACTGCCCCCCCGTGCCCCACCCCCCTGGCGTCCTGCTGCCCCAATCCCTCCCCAGTCCTGTGGTATTCCCATATCTCTCCCCCCAGCCCCCTGGCCCCAGGCACGGCTCTGACCCACCCCCTACGGCCACAGGTACCCCACTCCCCTCCCGGGAGTCCCCCTCTGCCCTGACCCCTCTTTTCCCAGCCTAGGCTCCCCCAAACCCCTCAGCGGACCCACACCCTCCCCCACAGCGCCACCCTGGCCCCCGCCCCAGGGAGGGAAGCACCCCATGACCCCCCACAAATCTGGGCACCCCACTGCCTCCCCCCCAATCTCCAGGACTCCCAGCCCCACTCCCGTGCGTTGGCTTCGGCTGGCGGGGTGGGGACACGGGGCAACGGGGGTCTCCCCCCCCAATTCTAACCGCTGCCCGGTGTGTGTCTCTCCCCCCTGCCCCAGCTGGAGGTGCAGTGCCCTCCGGGCACCACCATCAGGCACGTGGTGCAGAAATGGCACCTCTTCACTCCCAAGTTCTCCGTCCAGAACGCCGAGAAGTGGACGGTGCTGCGCGTGCTGGGGCCCTGCTGCGTCTTTCGCTGCTGGGGGGATGTCAACTTTGAGGTAGCTGGGGGGCTGGGCAGGGTGGGGATTGGTGTCTCTTTGGAGGGGGGCACCTGGGGGGCAGGATGGGGATCTGGGACTGGGGTTGGCATCTTTCTGGAGAGGGGTATCTGAGGGGCAGGATGGGGGATGTCTGGGGTCGGTGTCTCAGTGGAGGGGCTGTATCTGGAGGGCATCTGGGCCTGGGGTTGGTGTCTTGGTTGAAAGGGGCATGTGGGGAGCAGGATGGGGGGGGGCGTCTGGGCCAGTGTGACAAAGTGGGGGGTTTTCTTGTTTTCTGTGGAGTTTCAATGGTTTGCATGCGGAGGGGGTGGGACTCAGTTTCCCTGGGTGTTACTGGTTTAACGAGGTGAGGGGAGAGGGAGTGTGTTTTGCAGAGGACCAGAGAGAGGACTTGGGGACCCAGCCGATGGCCGGGAGGATGGATACCCCAGCGACCGGTGACCTGAGACCCCGACCCGGAAGCCCAGCTCAGGAGTTGCAGCCGGTTCTGGCCAGTGGGCGGACAATGGGCTGCAGAGTGAGGACCCAGTGACCTAACCAGCCGGTTCCAGCCAGAGGACAGAAGCGAGGAGAGGAGGCCCCGGTTTACGACCCTGTTTACCTGGAGAGAAGACAATGGACTGAGGCGGGGCTTGGGGCCGGGGATCTCAGATGCCCAGCGGGGAGCAGGGGGGCTCTGGGCTGGAGAGGGGGAGCAGGCAGAGCCCACCTGGTTGCAGAGAGACTGGGATGTGCTGGGCTGAGGGAGGCCAGGCCTGAGGCCCTGAGAGTTTCCTGTGCTGTGTTCAACTCTCAATAAACCCTCCTGTTTTATGCTGGCTGAGAGTCACTCCGGTCTAGAGAACAGGGTTGCATCAACCCCTT